AATCGAAATTGAAACAAACAAAACGCGATTATGTATACACAATGATGAGACTAGAAAAGAATACTTACCAGAAAAGTATGATCCCTTGTTAAATGGGCCTTCCCGCGGAAGAATAAAAAAAGATATCACGTCGATAAACGATACTTCGATCAAAAAGTTGAGAGAGAAGGTTATGCTAAATAGACTTCATGCTTTATTGTTGATGTCTACTTTTGAAAAAAAGGAAAAAAAACCATTACAAGTTGGTGAGTTCTCAACTTTATCATCAAGTTTCAATTTAACGGATTCAGAACAACTAACAAAATTTTTAGTAAATGCAATTGAGACAGACGATAAAAAATCTTCTGCAATAGAAAAAATAGGTAAAGAAGAAATTGGTAAAAAAGTCCCCCGATGGTCATACAAATTAATAACTGAATTGGAACAAATATCGTATTTTACAAATCCACCAGATGATCATGATATTCGTTCAAGAAAAGGGATCAGGTGTAATTAATTTTTGAAGAACCTAAGACTCTCAAAGATAAGACTACAAACAAAGATAAGAATACAAAAGATACAAATATTCAAGCTATAAAATCCGACGATAATGAGAAAGATAAAAATATTAAAAAGAAAAAGGAAGATGAGGATAATAAGCTTTTTTTATTACGATATCCGCACCAATCTGATTTTCGCCAAGGCTTAATAAAAAGACTCTATGCGAACTCAAAGACGTAAAATAGTTATTGAGGGACTTTTTAAAGCAAATGCGCATTCCCCTCTTTTTTTTGACAGGATGAGGAAAAAAAACCTTTTTTTCTCTACCATACCTGGCTCAACTGAAACGGCTTTTTTAGAAAATGGTCATCCATAAAAGAGTTTGGGATTTTAGAATCTACAGAGGAAAAAAAAAATAATAATAAAAAGAGAAACCAAAAAGGAAAAAAAACGACGAGAGGAAATAGAACGGTTAGAGATAGGGGAAGCCTGGGAGACTTTTCCATATACCCAAATAATAAGAGGTTTTTTATTAATAACCCAATCAATTCTCAGAAAAAAGATTCTATTACCTTCATTCATAATCGGTAAAAATATCGGGCGTATGCTACTATTTCAAACTCCTGAATGGTCTGAAGATTTAAAGGGATGGAATAGAGAAAACGCATGTGAAGTGTACTTATAATGGTATTCCGTTAGCTGACAAAAAATTTCCGGAAAATTGGTTGACAGAAGGTATTCAAATCAAAATTTTATTTCCTTTCTGTCTCAAACCTTGGCACGAATATAAATCGCTAAATTCTCGTGATGACTTTTGTTTTTTAACAGTTTGGGGAAGGGAAACAGAACACCCTTTTGGTCATCCACGACAAAAACCTTCGTTTTTTTAAGCCTGTTTTTAAGGAACTTTACAAATTTGTAAAAGTAAAAATTAAATTTTTAAAAAAGTTTTCAAAAAAAAACACAAGTTCAAAAGAAACAAGAACAATACACCCGAGTGTAATAAAAAATGAAAAAGATGATCTAATAAATAACCAGATAATGAATCAACCCTTGAGTAAAATTGAAAAAATTACAGATTGGAAAAATTATTCACCGATAGACAAAATGCAGGCTATCACTCATAGGACAAGTACAATTAAAAAAAAACTAGAAAGAATTACGGAAGATAAGAAAAGGGTCACTCTAGAACTTGATATGAAACCCTTACAAAAAAAGTTCGAGATTAGCCTTGTCAAAAAATTTTTGTCAAATGTTGAAAAAAAAAAAAAAATAGATTAATATATAAATTTAATTATTTTTATAAAATTATTTATTCAAAGAATATCTAATTGTATTTTTTTATATACTATATCTATTTGCCCAAATGACTCAAAAAGTCTTTGTGGAATCAACAAAAATGAACTCTCTTTCAAATTCAAATATAAAAACGCATAATAATAAGCTTTATAAGGAAAATTCAGAGAGTTTTGGTGATTTATCCAACTTGTCACAAGCATATGTATTGTACAAAATATCAGAAAGGGGTTTTTTTGAACGTACGTAATTTCATATCTGTTCTTCAACAAAATGGAACATCTTTCTTGATTAAAAAGAAAATAAAAAGACTCATTTCATACACAAGGAATACTTCCATCTGAAGGAATAAAAAAAACAACTTAAGCGGCCTAGAACGAGTCAATGGAAATTTTTGGGTTAAAAGGGAATTCTCACTACGATTTATCTCCTAATTTCTGGTCTGCCTTAAGATCACAAAAACAAAAATGGAGAAATAGGGCGAATCGCTATCGTAGGTCTAAACAAAAAATATTTAGACAAAAGGACTTCCGGTAAAAAATTAAAATTAAATACTTACAGGAAACAAAAGGATGCTAACTCAGTCTTGAATAAAAAAAACAAAAGATAATTTAAAAAAAATGCTATCGATATGATCTTTTAGCATATCAATACATTCAGTATGAAAAAAATAGTGGAACCCCTCCAGGAGCTAAACGGGAAGCAATTTCTTATCATTACAAGATGTCACAAAAACAACTTGTTTGCGATAACGAAAAATATTCCCTATCACTAGTTTCAGAGGAAAAATAGAAAGGTTAAATATTCCATATCCAAAAAAAGATGTCGATAGAAAATATTTGAATTGGGAAAAATATTGATTTTTCTCTTAAAAAAAAAGCGAATATTGAGTCCTGGATCACGGGTAATTATAACAATACTCAAAATACTCCAATTTTCACTTACAATTATCAATTAATTGATAAAATGGAAGAAATTTTGAAAATTGAGCAAATTTTTAAAAACGAAAAAGATCCTTTTGCTCTTTTGATTCAGAAAAATACCGAAATGAATCGACTCCATTCTAGAAATTCTTATTGGATTGGATGGGACTGAATGAAGAAATACTCGACCGTCCATTAACGGCTGAGGAACTTTTGGTTTTCCCAGAATTTGTGTGGTTTGTTAATTTATATAAACTGAAACCATGGATTATACCAAGCGAATCACTTATTTCAAATTTGAATCTTAATGAAATGACAAGTCAAAAGACCGGTAAAAACTCAGAAAGATAAAAAAGATAAAACTGAGAGTAAAAAAAAAAGATAAAGCCGAGGGTCAAACCAAAAGTGAACCTGAGGGTCAAACCAAAGGTGAAACTCAGGGTGAAACCAAAGGTAAACCTGAAGGTGAAACCAAAGGTAAACCTGAAGGTGAAACCAAAGGTAAACCTGAAGGTGAAACCAAAGGCGAAACTGAAGGTGAAACTGAAGGTGAAAAGAAAAGTCAAACTGAGATAGAACTAGAGTTATTCATGAAAAACTATTTATTTTTTCAATTTAGAGAGGATTTTACTTTAAATCAAGGCCTTTTCCAAGATCTCCAAATCTATTGTCTCTTGCTTAGAATGATAAATCGAAAAAAAATGATGCTATCATGGATTCTAAGGGAAAAGTTAAATTTGGGTCTAATGCCACAGATGGATCAGAAAGAGAGTGTTCCAGATTCAAAAAGAAATGTTCCAGATTCAAAAGAGAGTGTTCCAGATTCAAAAGAGAGTGTTCCAGAATTTTTAAAAAAGACGGGATTTTTGGTCGACCCCCTTCCGCTGTCTATCAAACCAAATGGAGAATTTCTTATGTATGAAACGATAGTTATTTCGTTGGTTCATAAGAGTAAACAAATTCTTAATAAAGAAGACGTAAAACAAAGAATAATTCGCGCTCGAGAGAACAATAATTGTGATCCGCTTCTTATTGAAAATATTTTATCATCTAGGCGTCGTAGAGAATTAAGAACTCTAATTTGTTTCAATTCACACAAATGGAATGGCGTGGATGCAAATTCTCTAGTTTCCAACAAAAATAAAGTTTGGGAAGAAAGCAACCCTGGGCCTAAGGATCAAAATAAATTAATTGAATTTTTTTCTTTGGCCTAATTATCGATTGGAAGATTTAGCTTGTATGAATCGTTATTGGTTTTATACTAATAATGGGAGTCGTTTCAGTATGTTAAGGATCCATATGTATTTACCATTGAATTTAAATTGGTGGAAATTTAATTGATAGTAGTACTATCTACCCTGTAGCAGGGTAGATGGTAAGCAGGTTAGATGAAAACCAATATGGACACATACCCTATTTTATACCTCATTTTAATTTGGATCTAACTGAATTGAGGATACCATATATCTATCTAGATCTATATAGATATATTGTACCTCATTAAAAGAATATTAAGTTGAAAAAATTCACTTTGATTTTATTAATGAACCCTAAAAGAAAGGGTTTTCTTTTGATTTGAATTGATAGACTTAGTTAGAAGAATTCCTTTTTAGCAATAAATGTCTTTCACATCCAGTGATAACCTGTAAATCATTTGAAATGGCAGTTCCAAAAAAACGTATTTCGAAAGCCAAAAAGCGTATTCGTAAGAACATTTGGAAAAGAAAGACTATTGAGGTAAGATTAAAAGCTCTTTCATTAGCAAAATCTCTTTTAACGGGTAAGTTTCAAAGTTTTTTTTTACAAAAAAAAATAAGAAAACATTGGACTCATTTCTGTCAAGTTGATTTATTCTATAATATAGAATAAAAGTAAATAATATTATCCTTTTTTTCTTTATTTTTTGTTCGTTCGTTTTAGTTACTAATCAATTATTTCATATCTATGAAATGAATCTAGAACTTAATTATAAAAAATTATTTTAAATGCATATTATATATCAATGAAGGGAGTTCATTTAGTTTATGATAAAAAACTTACAAAACAGAGGTTCCGTTGAATTTCAAGTATGGAATTTCACCAATAGAATACACCGGCTTACTTCCCACTTGAAATTGCACAAAAAAGACTATTTATCTCAAAAAGGTTTACGTAAAATTTTGGGGAAACGACAACGACTTTTAGCTTATTTATCAAAAAAAAATAAATTCCGCTATAAAGAATTAATTGATAAATTGGAGATTAGAGAGACAAAAACTCATTCATTTTGAAGTTGCATAGCTTTTCAAACCTATTATAGAGGTAAATTTAGAACAACAATATGGTTACTGAAACAATTAAAAAAGAATAGCTTGGGGTAGTGAATAGAAAGACATCATGTCCTTTTGTCTATTGATTCTTACTGTATAAATTTGAAGGGAGTATTTATTTAAAACTTTAAAACAATAGATTGAGTTAATTAAAAAAAGAATCCTTATTTACCCTATTAGGTAGTTTGTAGGTAGTTTGCGTAGTTATAAAAAAAATGATAATATTAAAACATAAAATAATTTTTTTTTTATTTTCAAAACCAATCCAGAAATCTATTGATTAGAATCCTTCTGAGAATTCATTGAGTCATATAGTATCTAAAAACCAAGTATCTTATAATTTTATATTGGATAAAAATAATATTTGGAGGATACTATATCGATAATTCATAAAGTTTATAAATTTATTCGTCCAATGGCACATTCTGTAAAGATTTATGATACATGTATAGGATGTACTCAATGTGTCCGAGCCTGCCCCACCGATGTTTTAGAAATGATACCATGGGACGGATGTAAGGCTAAACAAATTGCTTCTGCTCCGAGAACAGAAGACTGTGTAGGCTGTAAAAGATGTGAATCCGCCTGCCCAACAGATTTCTTGAGTGTTCGAGTTTATTTATGGCATGAAACAACTCGCAGTATGGGTCTCGCTTATTGATCTGGTCCAGAAAAGTATATTTGAATTCATTCTATTTTTATTGAACACCCGTGCTCTCAAATAGGAAATATTTTTATTTGAGAGCACGGGTTTCACAAATTTTTAGCTTTTCACGAAGTAAAAAAATTAATGTCTTTTTTTATGTTCGCGAAAATGAACCATAAGTATGTAGACCTAATCCAATTAAATTGACTCCAAAAATAACATATCCAAATAAGAAGAAAACCTATAGATGCCACAATTGCCGAAGTAGCACCTTCGAAAGTTCTATTTCTTCGAGTATGTAGATAAATTGAAAACACTATCCAAGTAATAAAAGCCCAAGTCTCTTTAGGATCCCAACTCCAATAAGATCCCCACGCTTGGTTCGCCCACAAAGCCCCCGAAAGTATTCCTATGGTTAAAAAGATAAACCCTAAACTAATAACTCGATAACTCCAATAATCCAATTCTTTACTTAATTGAATCTTATAAAAATTTTTAGCCGAAAAAATATAATTCATTTTAAAAATATTTTCATTTTTTCTAAAGGTAATGACCATAAGTGCTACTGATAATAAGGAGCCACATATAAGAGCTGCGTAAACCCACTATCATCATACTTACGTGCATTATTAACCACTCAGATTGAAGAGCGGGGACTAATATTGAAGATTTTTTAATTTCTGTGAAAAGACCCCGAAGTAGCAAAAGCCTGGATACAAAAATTGATTGGGCTTATTATTGTACTTAATAATTTTGTATTTTTTTTTAAATAGGAAAGGCTATTAATAAGAGCAAAAACTCCAGGAAAGAAAAAGCAAAGATTCCGATAAATCACTTAGTGGGAAATGGCCCGACGAAATCCAATGAGTAGCTAATAATCCTGTTATACATAAAAAAGTTATGAAAATGCACTTTTCTGATGAATTAGAAAGTTTTATGTTTTCATCTACAAAAAAGATTTTCAAATAAATTTTAATTAAAATAGAAACGAGTATTATTGAAAGTGAAATATTAGTTAGTATATGTTTCTAAGGTTGAAACTATCATAAAAATAAAAAAAAAAATAAGATTTTAACTCCGAATTAGATAAGAAAAAAATGAAAAAGAACAAAAGATTACTCTTATTTTTTATGCCGCTACTCGGACTCGAACCGAGATGCGCTAGCACTGCTTCCTAAGAGCAGCGTGTCTACCAATTTCACCATAGCGGCATGTTATTTACTTTCACTCATATATTTCACCCATTTATAGAATTTATCGAAACGATAATTCGAGTGATGGGCGAACGACGGGAATTGAACCCGCGCATAGTGGATTCACAATCCACCGCCTTAATCCACTTGGCTACATCCGCCCCCCGACTAAACTATGTTATTTTCAAAAAGGAATCAATAAAGGAGCAATAACCGATTTCTTGTTCTAGACAAGAAGGCGGAATTGCTCCCTTTATTCTATTTTAAATAGATTCTCTATCTATATACTAAGAGACGAAGGTCTCTAGCCATTTGTAGCTATAACTTGGATAGCAGCTAGGTCTAGAGGGAAATTGTGAGCATTACGTTCATGCATAACTTCCATACCAAGGTTAGCACGATTAATTATATCAGCCCAAGTATTAATTACCCGGCCCTGGCTATCAACTACGGATTGATTAAAATTGAAACCATTTAGATTGAATGCCATAGTGCTGATACCTAAAGCAGTGAACCAAATACCTACTACAGGCCAAGCAGCTAAAAAGAAGTGTAATGAACGAGAATTATTGAAACTAGCATATTGGAAAATTAATCGTCCAAAAATAACCATGAGCGGCTACTATATTATACGTTTTCTTCCTCTTGGCCGAATCGGTAACCTTCATTAGCCGATTCATTTTCTGTGGTTTCCCTGATCAAACTAGAAGTTACCAAGGAACCATGCATAGCACTGAATAGGGAACCGCCAAATACACCAGCTACGCCTAACATATGAAATGGGTGCATAAGAATATTGTGCTCAGCCTGAAATACAATCATGAAATTGAAAGTCCCAGAGATTCCTAGGGGCATACCATCAGAAAAACTTCCCTGACCAATTGGATAGATTAAGAAAACTGCGGTAGCAGCTGCAACCGGAGCGGAGTATGCAACCGCAATCCAAGGGCGCATACCCAGACGAAAACTAAGTTCCCACTCACGCCCCATATAAGAAGCTACACCAAGTAAGAAGTGTAGAACAATTAGTTCATAAGGACCCCCATTATATAACCATTCATCAATGGATGCCGCTTCCCATATTGGGTAAAAATGTAATCCTATAGCTGCAGAAGTTGGAATAATGGCACCTGAAATAATATTGTTTTCCGTAAAGCAGAGATCCAGAAAACAGGTTCACGAATACCATCAATATCTACTGGTGGAGCAGCAATGAAGGCAATAATAAATACAGAAGTTGCGGTCAATAAAGTCGGGATCATCAAAACACCAAACCATCCAATGTAAAGACGATTTTCAGTGCTAGTTATCCAATTACAGAAACGACCCCATAAGCTTTGGGTTTCGCGTCTCTCTAAAAACTGCAGTCATGATCAATTCTTGGTTGATTTTATAATCAGGGACTCCCAAGCACACGAAATAAAAAAAAAATAGAATAAATTAAAGGCTTGTTATTCAACAGTATAACACGACTTAGATATTCGTGTCAACCAATAGAGCTATCTAATTTGATTCCGCCCCCTTTTTTTAAGTCAAGCAAATTTTCTCCATTTAATTTAAGTATGACGATTTGGTACTCATAATTACAATCTGGAACTTGTTTAGTTCGAGTAAAGAATATATTTTTTTTTTTAATATTTTTGTGAATAAGCGTTCCTATATATATATATAAATTATATATAAATTATCTGTAGTCAATTTTAAAAAAGTTAAAACTAAGCTTACCCTTTAATTAGACTTTTTAAGAAAGATTTACGATCAAATGGAAAAATAAAACTTTTTTGCCTCTATTAATAATTTTATAATTTGGTAAAAAATTTGAATTTGACAAGATGCATGAATTTTTAAAAATTAATATGCTCTTCGATACAAACAATATCAAAATACCAAATCCGCCTTTTATAAACTCGCCTCAAATTTGAAGAAGCCTTTGAAAACGTGAAATTAAAAATTTGTTCTTCCGATGTAAAAAATTCTTCTAAAAATTCCGAGCCCAAGCTTTTTAAAAAATCGCGTACAGTACTTTTGTGTTTCCGAGCTAGAGTTCGAGCACAAGAAAGCCTAAGTATATACTTTATTTGATACAAACTGGTTTTTTTTGGAAGAACCACTATAATAATGAATAAAATTTCGACATATCCGCCCAAACCTTTTAATAATCTCAGAATCTGAGAAGTCGGTCCAACCCGGTTTACTAATGGGATTCCCAAGTACATTACAAAATTTAGCTTTAGCTAGGGATCTAAGGATAGGAATAATTGGAACAACAGTATCAAATTGATGAATAGCATTTTTTATTAAAAATGAATTCTTTAACATTTGACTTCGTATTATTGAAGGGATTACTACAATACTTGAAAGATTAAT